CATGCAATAACTATATCAACTTGAGTTGGAAAAGGGTAATGTGGCTTCGTGGATAGGATTTTGAAACGATTTTTTAATACTCCAAAAGTTGATTCAATTTTAGACCTTAGGGATGAGTGTTTTAAATTAAACAATTTTTGTCTATTATTGATCGGCCTACCTTTGTGCTCATTTAGATGATACCGTACTCCTCGATATGGGGAGATAAAGCCATGCTAGTAGTGTAGTCCGCATCACACAAATAATATTTTCCTACATTTACCAAAAAGAAATTGAGTATATTTTTTTAATTGTAATTAAGTAGACATACTTTATTTGATTGATTAATTACCATTGTAAACTCTCAATCCGCGAGGTTGTGGTCTGGATAACGTGTCTTACAAAACTCTATAATCATTTGCGGATCTCTCTCATCCAGCTAGAACATACGAAAATAACTTGTTGGGAGTGCATACAGCTAGAACATTTTGAGTTACATCTTTACGACCTCTAAAATGTGCAACAATGCTAGCAGGAAGCATGACGTCGATATGGGTTCCATCTATCATGTCAATGCAATCCTATATGATATATTAAATAGTTTTTAATAATAGAAAGGTAAAATTAACTGTTATATTATGAATAGTTATATTATAATAATGATTACCTTGAAATAAGGATAGTATAACGGGTTAGTAGTAATCCCTGGCGATACTTCGCTTGGTGCTTGCTTCATGTACCGCCCCCTTAAACGACCAACGGCTTTCAAACACTTATTAAAGTATTTTTAAATAGTTTCCCCCGATATTAGGAAATGTGACCTAACAATTCTATTTTTTATTTTATGACCTAATATATATTAAAGAACATGAGCAATTGTTCTTCTACTTTAACACCCCGTGAATCTTTTAGTAGGTCGGTATATCTCATTATTCTAACAATATTATAAAATGCACGCGGCCTCATTCTAACATAATCCCTACAACTCTCATTATAGTTATTAAGGACAAATTTTCAAAACAATCCCTTTTGCAATTTTATTCCCAAAAAACAACCCATTTCTCTCTTATTTGTAAAAACCGTCCTGGTTTCAGCCTCAGCGCTGAAACCAGGTCAGTTTTTATAAAAAAAGTTCCGAAACTTCAAGGGAGTTGAACTCCCGTGAGTTTAGCAGTTTTTAATTAAGCTGCTAAACTTCACGGGAGTTAAACTCCCGTGAAGTTTCTTAGTTCAAAAAAAAATTTTTTGAACTGTGAAACTTTACGGGAGTTGAACTCCCGTGAAGTTTAGCAGCTTAATTAAAAGCTGCTAAACTTCACGGGAGTTCAACACCTGTGAAGTTTCGAATTTTTTTATAAAAAACGACCTGGTTTCAGCGCTGAGGCTGAAACCAGGTCGGTTTTTACAAATAAGAGAGAAATGAGTTATTTTTTGGGAATAAATTTGCAAAAGAGTTTGTTTTGAAAATTTGTCCTAGCCATTAAACATACGACTTATGTGCCTAGCTCTATATTCTATCTTCTCTTTATTTTTCACCTTAGGGTGATAAGTGATTGATTTTCTTCTATTACGTATCCTCATCAAACAAGCAAACACACAAATCACTGCGGAGATAGTAGCATTAGAAGCCATTCTCATTAACATCTCTTCATCAATGTCGTCCATCTACATTGTTTTAAAAAGAAAATTTTTCGTATAAATACTATGCATCACTCTTAAACAAGTGCTCATATAGTAAATAGAAATCAACAATCCTCAAGGAGTTAAGTGAAATTAACTTTAATAAACACATAGTTAAAGGCGGAATATAGAGCAAAAAGATAAAAAGTCAAAAGGGAACAACTGTGAACAATTACCACATGAAACTTTTCATTCTCGTGTACCATTCACATCACAGTATTCTCTTTAAGAACGGTAATAGCAACAAAGCTTTATCACCTAATTAATATAACTCTTAGTCAAAACAAGCTCATTCCTCTTAATTGGGATTGGCAAGAAACTGTCGTAAATTTCTAATGTGAGTCATGGGTTAAGCAAAGAGGTCCGAAGAACATAATTCTGTCTACTAGAGACAAAAGAGGAAATTTCCACTAATTATTACCAAAAAAGACAAAAAAAAAATCCAGATCTTTAGAACTACCCACATAACAAATGCAAGTATTATCCACAAAAATTCAATAAAATTAGAAGGGAATGATCAAAGGGGAAAAGCTTCAAGTGGAAGAACCTTCAAGAACTAAGTTTAGATACAAGAGAAAAAGAGGAATTTCCCACTATTTTCTACTAGAAAAGATCCAAATTGATAAATTTCCACGATTTCAACCACCTAACGAATTGAATGCAAGTTTTTTTTTTCACAACCAGTCAACAAACCCATAGATTTTAACAACAATAACAACTCAAAACTCAGATCTACAAACAATTAATAGCAAAAATAACCCAAATCTCAGATCTACAACAATTACCTTCAATTTCTCAAGTCGGCTACTCAAACCGCGAGAGAAGCCTTCAAAGAGAGCGTGAAGAAAGGAATCGAGCAGCAGCACAAGATCACAACACGAGATCAAGGCGGCGGAAGATTTTGTAGCGGGAAGAGGAGGCGGCAGTCTTGATTTCAGGGCGGGAAGAGGAGGCGGAAGTTAGGAATTGACAGCGGGGAGAAGCGGTGACGGGACTAGAGTTTTGGTTTCGGAGCTGAGATAAGCTGAGATAAAGGCTGAGCTGGATGGATTGTGTCATAAATCCACCCCAAATCCCACATGAAAAAGAGGATTTTACAAATCCTTAAATATATTACTATTTTATTATTTGGGGATTTAATATCCTAAAACTTATTTTGAAACAAACAAGTTTTATAGAATTCTAAAACCCCAAAAAACCTCTTTTTACATCCCAAAACTTGAAATCCACACCATATCCCTAAAGAAAAATGAAACAAACACCCCCTTAATGCATCTCCTTCCTTCATTATTGGATGTGGGATCCACAAAGTCTTTGTTTATTATTTCTTTTACTTCCAAGTAAAATTCTAGTCATAAGGGGATTTTTGAGAGGGAAGTGATAACCAAGCTACAAAATGCTAGAATATTTTTATATTACCACAAACAAAAGAGTTAGGGTCCATGGTGACTTACCATTTTCTATTATAATTTCTAGGGAAGGAACCCACTAATTTGTTAGTGTTAGTACAAAAGTAGTATAACATGTATAGTATGGTTAACATACGCTTTTTGACGCCGAATCTTGTTGAAGTGAATAGCACTTACCTTTTTTTCTTTTTCTCTTTCTCTTCTTTTTTTTTGGTCAACGAAAAATGTATTTATGTATATATATAAGCATTAGGCAGACCTGACCATAAAAAATTATCAAAAAAGGGATCACTGAACTGCCAACATCAACACAATATACACATAGATAACACTTTCTCATAATCCATATTCTTTGCAAACAAATAGAAAAAACATTTTAAGAAAAAAACGAACAGAAAAAGTCTGTCATTTGGAAGTAATTCTAAGACAAAATTATCCTCTGCGCCCATATTTCCATAGATCTCTAAGCAAATCCATGCAAACTAACAGCTGTTGACAGAACTCACCAAGACACTTAATCAATTCCTAATCATTAACTTTCTTAGAAATGACAAGAGTCTTGCCCTTATAGGCATTACAAAAGGTGTAAACATAACAGCAATAAACGAAGTTAAATCTTGATAAAGCCTACCCTTGTTCATCCTATTTCCTATTTATTTGAATAATAATTTCTATAGCCTACACACACAATCTTATCTATTTCTTTCCTCTTCAGTTTATCATATATCTACTCATAAACAGATATCTAAGTTGAAAATCCAACATTATCTAAAGACATCTTAGCATGTACAACAAGAAAAGATATTTAAAAATCAATATGTCCTGGTATTACAAAAATCAATATGTCCTGATATTACCATTTCAATTTAATTTAATCTAACTGAGAGTTGTGGAAAATGCAATTTTGGGCCTAGTATTTTAATGGATAGACACTTATATCAGCACTGGGATAGCTGCTAGCTTAAATTGATTACTAACTGATTTTTATCACTGAACATACCTTCGATGGCCAAGAGTAATGTGAATTGCGCCCAAAGACAATCCGATCTAACATTGGATTGATTATTGCCCCATAAAGAAGAACACGTGAATTTACCAAAATTTGGCGACTTTGTATGGCTTTTCTTAATTAACTTTATTTGTTTATAAATAGAAGGTTCAACTACTCATTATGGATGTTACTAAGAGATTTGTTCTTATGTTAATTTGTGAGATTGAAGTTCTCTTTCCTTATCTTTGATTTATGTTACATTATTTGCACAGTGCTCTCTCGCTGCTCATTATTACACATCTCATATGATCACAACTTTTTTATGTCAACTGGAACCTACCTCAACAAAATCTGATTTAACCTGAAACTGGTCCTTTTAGAGCTTACATTAGGTTAAATAGGGTTATTTGCTAACAAGAGGGAGGGTTCTGTTGGCTTAGGATCAAGATTTAGAGTTTGAGTTTGGCTAGGATCAACTTCCTGTACACAGTCGAATATATGTCTTCAATCTTTAATTACCATTTATCACAAACAAGCACTTGTGTTGGAGAATTTGAGTTAATAAGAAACTTTGTTTGGAACGTGTCATGGTTGTTCTGTTTACAAGATAAGTTTAAAGACATGCAGGAGTTGTTTATCATGTTTCTTTTTGTTTCTCTATTTATACATATCTACAAGATCACAAAACTGTTTCAAAATTCTTTTAGAACTGTAAATCGTGACACCAAAACTTTTATCAGTTTGCGGCCTGTACCATCTAGTTTATTCAGGGTCAGCTAGAAATAATTATTTCTATAGTTGGTTGAATTTTAAGTGTTAAACCTTCAAACCGTTTTTTATATATTTTTCATCCCTTTATTGTTATCCTTGGTTTTGTCAGAAGCTAACTTGCAGCAATTTTTTCTTTTTCACTAGAATTTAATAGTATGTTTTTCCTGCAGTTTCCTTATGCTGGTTGTGAAAAACAGGAGATTTGGCCTAGATGTGTCCGAGAAAAAGAATTGGTCCAAATTTATGCCGACAGATATCTTCCACTAAAGTTTGCTTCTAGTATACATAAAAAAAAAATTTCTGGGATTTTTATTGAGGGTGAAAATCAGTAGATTGTATTCTCTCTACAGAATAGAGGAGTGCATCAAGAAATCTCATTACTTAAGGAAGTTTCATTGCTTCCTTAAGAACTACTACATATATGGTTGTTCACTAGCCTGTGATTGATCCTAATGGCTAGTGGCTCTGTCCATGGCTCTGATATCATGGAAAAATCCACTACTAGATATGTGAACACTACGTACTTACACGGAGACTTAGATTTATGGATAAAAGAAGCTAAGTCTCTTCCAAATATGGATTTAATGACAGAAAGAATGAGGAGATGTTTCACTATGTATGGAGCTTGTCCATCTCCTCTCAAAAAGGTCAGTGGCCACAACATAATCACTAGTGACCCCTATGTGTCTGTCTATCTTGCGGGGGCCACTGTCGCGCAAACCCGAGTAATTCCAAACTGCGAGAATCCAAAATGGGAAGAACATTTTTGTGTTCCTGTAGCTCATCCCCTCACAAAAATTGAATTCCAAGTAAAGGATAATGATGTGTTTGGTGCCCAACTTATTGGGGTGGTTGAGATTCCAGTAGATAAGATTCTTACAGGATTAATTGTTGATGAATGGTTCCCTGTGGCTGGCGATTATGATGATTCAGTGAAACACAAGCCTGAACTTCATTTATCTATGAGATTTAGGCCAGTAGAGAATAATCCGTTATATAAAGATGGAGTTGGTGCTGAGACAGATTATAGTGGATTGCCGAATGCTTATTTTCCACTTCGTAAAGGTTGTGGTGTTACCCTTTATCAAGATGCTCATGTTCCTGATAATATGTTGCCTGAAATTGAACTTGATGGGGGAAATTATTACAATCATGGTAAATGTTGGGAAGACATATGCCATGCAATATTACAAGCTCATCACCTGATCTATATTGCTGGTTGGTCAATTTATCACAAGGTGAAACTTGTGAGGGAGCCAACAAGGCCATTACCAAGTGGAGGGGAATTGTCTCTTGGAGATCTTTTAAAGTCCAAGTCGCAAGAAGGTGTTCGTATCGTTTTGTTAATTTGGGATGATAAGACCTCACACAATAGGTTCCTACTGAAAACGGTATGTTTATTTTTTATTGTTTTTAATCATCAATTCTAGAATTTTGTTTGTACCTGCTAATTACTTTTGTGTGCATTTTAATGAAAATATTAGTCAAATGAGCAATAGTGCGCCATGCAATGCCACTGCATTAATGTGAAAAAAGTAAAAAAGATGAGCATTTGGTTTAAAAAACATTGTATATAACCATTTAGAATAAGATCATATCAAGTTGCAAATAAAATATAGCAACTTACACTATATACTAAATCACTAAAATATAAATAAGTTTAAAAATTAATTCAGTGGAGTATTTTGGGTCCAAGAAAGATTTTGCACATGGGTGGGTGTAAGAATAAGCAGTGTTAATACTTTAAGTTCGTAGGTAAAAAACATTTTTTTGTAAATGAGTCAGTTTAAGTGGATTTAAAAATAAATGGAGGAAAAAACCCCATCTATAGTCCATATGCCGCAATGTTAGTGCGGAAGAAGCCCAAAAGTATATCTGTTTAAGCATTTGGCTTAAAAGTATACTACATGTCCAACCACTTAAAACCAAAATATTGCAAATGACAATAAAATATAACTTACACCATATACTGAATTGTTGAACTACCCGGTAGGCTTAAAATTAATTTGGTAAAGTATTTGGGATTTAAGAGTTCTTTTGGAAGTGGGTGGGTTTAAAAATAAATGGGGATAAAACGTCGGGTATAGCAGGGATACCGCAACATTAGTGTGAAAAAGGCAAACAAATAAATAATGGTTTAAGCATTGATTTTAAAACACACCATATTTTGGGCCTAAAAGTGATTTTGGAATTGGGTGGGTTTAAAAATAAGTGGGTGTAATACTTTAGGGGTTTATAAGCAAAAAAAAAAAAACACCGTCTAGAATTGTGTTGATTTAAAAAAAAAACAGCGGCAATACTTTGGATTTATAGGTAAAAAAACACTGTCTATAGTAAATATGAACAATATTGGAGTACTTTTGGTCTACTAGTGATTTTGTAAGTGGATGGGTTTAAAAATAAGCGAAGATAAAACTTTGGGTTTAAAGGTTAAAAAACTATCAACTGTAGCAATCTTTAGTTTTAGTATAAAGTAAAATATAAGTATGAAGAACCAATGACTATTTGGCCACCTTGTCTAGAATCCCGTTATTCCAAATTACGCACTGTTTTTTATTATCACAACTGTAAACAATGTGTTGTTATAAGCTGAGGTTAAATGAAATAAAGTCAGGTGAATAAGGTTATGATTTCCTTTTTTTCAGCTTAATAATTTGTTTTTAGACTTACCAGAGGTATATTACTTATAAATTGAATAGTTTGATATATGTATGATAGTTTACATTTATGCTGAGATATGTGTGTGTGTGTGTGTATATAGGGTAACATGTACCTAAGGAGGCACCTTAGATTGAACCTAAGGATGCACCTTGAAAATTAGATTATGTGCAATCAATTTACTTGATCCACTCCGTTCATTTTGATTTATATGATTTGGATGACATGTAAACCAAAAATTAGGCATATTGGATTATTTTTACTAATGTATCAAGTGATAGTAAAATTAACGGTTTCACGACAACACAACCAAAGAGACAATAAAAAAATATGTGTTAGATATATTCAAATATCATGGTTTTTATTTTGTAGATGTTTTAAGACATTTAGATCATAATGAATGTGGCGGATCATCCATTTTACTTGATCCACTCCGTTCATTTTGATTTATATGATTTGGATGACATGTAAACCAAAAATTAGGCATATCGGATTATTTTTACTAATGTATCAAGTGATAGTAAAATTACGGTTTCACGACAACACAACCAAAGAGACAATGAAAAATATGTGTTAGATATATTCAAATATCATAATTTTTATTTTATAGATGTTTTAAGACATTTAGATCATAATGAATGGGGCGGATCATCCATTGAAATAGCCTAATCTATACATTGAAAGGTGCATCCTTAGATTCAATCTAAGGTGGCTCATTAGAAGCATATTTCACACATACACTCACGCGCACGCGCGCGCACACACACACATCTTATTTACTAACCCGCTGATCCTATATGTACACATCATCAATCTACCAACAAAAACCCATAGCCAAGAGGAGATTGCAGGACTTGTAAATATATATGTATATTACCAAGGGGAAAGTGCAGGACTTGTAAAATGGTTTATTAGTAGTTAAGGAGTCTGATTCAAAGAGGAGTTTCAGAGCAGTGTGCTACAACATGCACATACAGAGTATATACATAAACTATTGTGGCATTACATGTGAAGTATACTGACATACATTTCTGTAGAACTTTTCATCTGAAATGTGATTGAGTAATCATAGGCTGAATGCAGGATGGAATCATGCATACTCATGATGAAGAAACTAAAAAGTTCTTCAGGCACTCAAGTGTCCATTGCGTACTTGCTCCTCGTTATGCCAGCAACAAGTTAAGCATTTTTAAACAACAGGTGAAGTAGAATGCATTTCTCTTCCTCTTATATAAAAGCAGTTAATTATTTTAAACATATTAGTGTTCCCATGGCTCACATGCCAGTATGCAAATTGCTTTAGTATAAGGATAACATCATTCTTCAATTAGTGTTTACTTCTTTCATCTTCTCTGATGTTTTGTCATTTTATGCATCATCATTTAATTTGAATACATAAAGCTATAAAATGGCTCAGACTTATGGCATTTCAAAATGCTTTCTACACTTCTGAAAATATATTATCTGCATTTACCAACTCAAGCTTTATTATAATCTTGTCCTGCATTTTGTTTAAAGCAGTAACTTAATAAAATACAGTCCCTCTTATATCTTTATATTTCACTGCAACATTGGACTTCTTTACAAAAGTAAAATGGCTAATAGAAAGCTCAAGAGGTTTGTGTGCTTTATTGGTTTGACAGAGAGGTTGTTGTCAAACAAGAAACCTGCAAAGCTGCTTACCATGTTAAGGGTAGATGGTTCGAAGAGAAAGTTGGATGATTAATAGTCAACTGAACTTCCAATATGAAGTAATTATGTGGCAGAAATAACTTATAAAGAAGAGAACAAACACTGAGTATTGTACCTGTAAGAGTAACCATTGCCTTGCCTAATACCTTGCCATAGGACTGTCTACTAGATGCTAGAGGTGTGAAACCGTGAGTAGTAATTATTATAAACGAGAAATGTCTGAAGTGTCACTGTATAAATTTCATTTCCACAAAATTCTGTGTGCTCCATCTAATCAGTGCCTAGTTTGTTTATGAGTTACTCACTTCCAGTCTGAATGCATAACAAAAACATGTTTCATAACTTTGGTTAGGATATGCATAAAATCAAATTCCATTTATTTGCTTGATTTGTTTTCCTATTAATTAGAACTCTTTTATCTCAGGTCGTAGGAACGTTATTCACACACCATCAGAAGTGTGTGCTTGTTGACACCCCATCTCCCGGCAACAATCGAAAAATAACTGCTTTTATTGGAGGCTTGGATTTATGTGATGGTAGATATGACACACCTGGGCACAGGCTTTATGATGATCTTAATAGTGTTTTTGCAGATGATATTCATAATCCAACATTTCCAGTAAGTCTTTGTTTCCCACTTAATCAATAATTTCTAATTTGAGATTCAAGAGCAAAGGAACAAATTTTTTATGTTTCTGCATCATAAGGATATTGCATACTGTTGGAGGCACCTTCACCGGGCCTACATTAGCGTGAAATCCTGTTATGTCAATATCTCCATCTATGTTTCTTCCATTTGGCACCATATGCGTAGCATAGAATCTTAGGAATTATTTAACCTGCTTGATATCTTAAAATGATGAATCTATATCTGTTCTTGGGGACATCTTAGGAGTAGTGCTTTTTTTGCAGTGGTCCATGAACGCGAGTTTCATTTGCCATATGAATGGTGTATGTACAATAATTTATTCAGCCATTAATGCCTGAGATTTAGAAAGTCAGAAACCATGTGATAGAATCACTTTCATTCAAAGAAACACTCACACACTTACAACCAACTCAACATAACTCAAGGACTTCACTCTGTCATGAGACTGAGCAAGGATAGAGCTATGATATAGGATAGCTAGGACATGAACTTTAACTATTTTGAGAACGCTCACTTCAGATTTACATTTTCCAGTGTATAATTGAAGATTTCTCTCTATCCATAGGAAGTAAATAGCAGCAGAAAATACAATTTTCTTCGCCTTCTTCATTTAAGAACTCCCACACAAATGCACAGAAAACCAAAGTATCACCCAAAGACCATGAACAGGCTCAAAACTGAAATTTCAACCACTCCTTAATAGAAATCCCTACAGAAGACGAGAATGATCTTAGGAATAGTTCTTACATTATGGTTGTGATAGAATCCTATATTACTGTTATTGCACATGAACATATATGAAAACACGAGAATTTTAGAATTTTGTTTCTTTTAGTTCCTTTTGACCTTGTTTTCTTTAGATGTCCAACTTTTGTTACCCGGAATCTCATATCATGAAGCCGTACCCGTACCTCACATGTACCCCTACCCAAACTTCATGGACACTCCTTGGATTAAAACACTTTTCATTCACTTCTTGGACGTACATCCTACACTTCATGTCTATTTCTTTGAGCTTGTTAGACATGAGTTTGTTTCAGCCCTTATTCAAGTTAAAAAAACTATAATTTAAAAGGATAGTTTGAGTGTCTAGTTAAAATACAAGCAACTTCTAATTTACAATAATTAACACAAGAAAGGAAATTTAAAAATATGATTGGAATTTAAATTCAAATAACACATGAATTGAAAAATAATAATGATCTCATGTAAATTATTAATTTCAATATCTATGTAGCCGTGTTCTTGTACCCTACATTATTGGTACCCATACATATTTCCATGCAGCGTAGTGGCCAAATAGATATGTTCATTAGTTTTCATTTGTCTTCAGAGACTTTATATTCATGATAGTTTGTTAATGTTATATCTTTTCTTCATATCATGTATTGAGGTGTAATAAGATATATTTAAATTGGTAGAAGACTGATGCGAAACGGGACAGGGGGTCTATTAGAATCAGCGATTTAAATTGAATAAGGAACCGTTTTGCCAAAATTCATGATCTTCGGCAGGAAATTAACTTAAAACGATTAATGTGCCAGATGGATTTTAATAAGACTTGCAACGATAATCATGAACAATTCCAATCTCAAACAATTCAATTGTCGGACTAATTATCATTGCACAAGTTCTAAGATCAATATCAAAGTTGCAACAGTCACATGTTCGGTTTCTCTCAACTCACAATTATACTCTAAGCAATGAATATAAGATAATAGTTTAGAGGTGATATACTAATGCAATTAGCTAAATAAATGAGATTAACAGAAAATATTGAGTCAAGAGAAAACGAAACCTTCGGACTCAAACCTAAATGAAATGGATCGGATCTGATTCAAAGCAACCCAGATCTGACTTCTCTGTTCGGAGCAGCTTCGATCTGAGGAGAGGAGGATGAGGGCTGCTCCATGACGAAGGTCGATGGCGGAAGGAGGCGAACTGGCGGCGGATCTGTTCGACGACGTGGGGCCGCGAGCGGGCGGCGGGCCTGTTCGACGACGAAGGCGAACGACGACACGATCGGAGTTGTCGGCGGTGTGGCAGAGGGCGCCGGTCATCGGGGTAGCTGTGGACGGCGGCGAAGTGTTAGTGGGCTGATAGGGGTGAGCAAGGGGAATTTGTTGGGTTGCCTCTGAGTGGATTTCAGTGATCTCTGCAGGCGGTCAGAGGTGGAGGAACGACAGGTGGAGGGGAAGGATGAGGGGTTTTGTTGGTGGGGTTTTGATTCTGGCGGTGGATCTTAGTCTATAGGAGAGATGAACGAGAGAGGGGGGATCTCGTCGGCTGGGGCTTGGAGCTTGAGTTGTTTTACGTGGAGGAGAATAGAGAAGATCTGACGGCTGAGGAAAGAGAAAGAAGAAACAGTTTAGGCTTATGGTTTCACACCCATGGTTTCATACCAAATAAGCTAACACAATTTCATTTCAATTTTCTATTTTTTCATTGATATTTTCTTCTCATTACCAACCATGTTTATAAAGAGAAAATTACAGATTTCAATTCCCTCAAATCACTCAACTACTAAATTTGATCAAAATTCAAAAATTCAAATTTTGAAAATTAAAATCCTAGCAAAAATAGAAAAATCACTCAAATCTCTCACAATTATTAACTACCAAATTAAACAACAATTCAAATTTTAAATTTCAAAAATTCAAACTACGCTAAAATGGAAGGTTGTCAATTCTTGTTCTCATCATTCACCCCGGGTGGGAGAAAACTCGACTCCGTCGAGTTAACTGCAGAAACTTATCATCTTTAATATACTCTGCCTGCATCTTAATCTATCATCAGTTATTTTCCTGTATCTTAAAATATTAGCTAAATTGCATTGTAAATTCATCATCTAAAATATTATCAAAATTCACTGCTATATGGGTGAATATATAGAAGTGGAATAAAGTGAAATAACTCTTAGTAACAATAGGCTAAGGTCAGGTTTATATTAGTGGACTGCCAATAATATTTGTGAACTGCTTAATCAATCAATATTGAGAATAGAACTATGACCAAATTGATAATACAAATGTTGCCATTAATTAGTTCAAGAGTTGGAAAAGCTCATAACTATCATGTCAAATCTTAAACAGTTATAAATAAACTGTATTGGACAAGTCCAAACCATCTAAAATAGCAGCATTAACAATTTTAAATTATGTCCTGACTCCATATCATTCATTCCAGTTAATAATGTATTTATTCAAGTTAGCTCACTGATTCTCCAATATATGACCAATGCAATTCAAAAAAATAATAATGTGAATCAACTCAAATGATTATGATGAAATGCAGACTCGAACAATACGATCAATGACAAATGTAACTCAACGAAGTGTTTAACATGCATGACATCCTCTATCTAATGGAATAATTAGGCGTTCCTTCGTTAGTATGAATAACAAATTTTCTATTCTAACAACGATGATGAGGAACATGCAAACAAATGCGTGAAGGTCCAAGGATGAGTGTTTTTGTGCACTTAACATGAGAGAAAAAGGAAATGAAAACACTTGTGCTAAAACTTTTATCCCTTATCACTTTATTTTCCCAAAATGAATAAGTGTTTGTGTGAGTGATTGTCGGAACAATGCATAGGGGTTTGACATCTGATATGGTAGCTATTTCACGATGCTCAATTTGGGATTCAACTTCCATACAAATATCTAAGTGACTCATTTTAAGAACCGAATCAGGAACGTGTTGGGTGTCATGTTGGTCCGAGAGGACTTCGTGGGAAACATCAACAGCGTTTTCTCGCAGGAGTTGGTTCAGGAGGAGTTGGAGTTTCAACTTTAAGAACAACTTCAGGGATAACATCAGTGGACTCTGTGTTCAGAGGGGTAGTTTGGGGAATAATCGGAGTGTTATCATTGTATGAAATTTCAATTAACTCCGTAATTGCAGGGGTAGTTTCAGAAGAAATGGAAATGCATGGTTTGTCAATTTTAGTATCCCGGAACCTCTTAACTGAGTTAGATTCTATCAAATCTACGGCCTGGTTAACGGTTTCCTTACGAATAGATTTTGATTCCGTTATAGGCAGGAGGCATTTCTTTCTTATCTCATCGATCAATTCTTGCAAAGTTAAAGTTGGTAACTCACCTCTAATATACCTTGATATTTCGAACTTACCATCAAAGATTGGTGGATCAGGCACAGGTTGAGGTGGGGGTCGATGAACGATGTGCCCATGACCTTGATCTTGCGGAGGCGGGGTTGTAACATGAGCTCTTTCGAGCCTAGTAAGTATTTTGCTGGTGTCATTCAGGGTCTCACGGGTAGCTCTGCTCTCCTGGGCTAAGTTACCTATTTTTCCGCTTAGTTCCTCGAGTTTCTTAAGAAGCTTGGAAGACATGTTGGACTCACTAGATGATTCACTGGAATTTGTTTGAGCAAATAAAAGACTCAACTAATCTTAAAAAAAATAAAATAAAAAATTTTCTAACCTAGAACCATGCTCTGATACCAAAAATGATGCGAAACGGGACAGAAGGTCTATCAGAATCAGCGATTTAAATTGAATAAGAAACCGTTTCGTCAAAATTCATGATCTTCGGTAGGAAATTAACTTAAAACGATTAATGTGACAGATGGATTTTAATAAGACTTGCAACGATAATCATGAACAATTCCAATCTCAAACAATTCAATTGTCGGACTAATTATCATTGCACAAGTTCTAAGATCAATATCAAAAATTCCAATCTCAAACAATTCAATTGTCGGACTAATTATCATTGCACAAGTTCTAAGATCAATATCAAAATTGCAACAGTTACATGTTCAGTTTCTCTCAACTCACAATTATACTCTAAGCAATGAACATAAGATAATAGTTTAGAGGTGATATACTCATGCAATTAGCTAAATAAATGAGATTAACAGAAAATACTGAGTCAAGAGAAAACGAAACCTTCGGACTCAAACCTAAATGAAATGGGTCGGATCTGATTCAAAGCAACCCAGATCTGACTTCTCTGTTCGGAGCAGCTTCGATCTGAGGAGAGGAGGATGAGGGCTGCTCCATGACGAAGATCGATGGCGGAAGGAGGCGAACTGGCGGCGGATCTATTCGACGACGTGGGGCCGCGAGCGGGCGGCGGGCCTGTTCGACGACGAAGGCGAACGACGAGACGGTCGAAGTTGTCACCCGGCGGTGTGGCGAGATGGGTGTCCAGTCGTCGGGTAGGCTGTGACGGCGGCGAAGTGTTAGTGGCTGATAGGGGTGAGGGCAATGGCGAAGGGGAATCTCTTAAAGTTGGGCCTCTTAGCAAGCAGGGGAGCATGGCGGCGACTATTGGGGAAGGGAGACACGACGGACTGGTTGTTGAGGTGGGTGGGAGGCGAGAACCCGAGCGAGCGCGACGTTTTAGGGTGGTGGACGGTCAGGGATCTTGCAGGCGGTCAGAGGTGGAGGAACGACAGGTGGAGGGGAAGGATGAGGGGTTTTGTTGGTGGGGTTTTGATTCTGGCGGTGGAGCTTAGTCTATAGGAGAGATGAACGAGAGAGAGGGGGATCTCGTCGGCTGGGGCTTGGAGTTTGAGTTGTTTTACGTGGAGGAGAATAGAGAAGATCTGACAGCTGAGGAAAAAGAGAAGAAACAGTATAGGCTTAGGGTTTCACACCAAATAAGCTAACACAATTTCATTTTAATTTTCCATTTTTTCATTGATATTTTCTTCTCATTACAACCATGTTTTTAAAGAGAAAATTACAAATTTCAATTCCCTCAAATCACTCAACTACTAAATTTGATCAAAATTCAAAAATTCAAATTTCGAAAAATTAAAATCCTAGCAACAATAGAAAAATCCCTCAAATCTCTCACAATTATTAACTACCAAATTAAACAACAATTCAAATTTCAAATTTCAAATTTTAAATTTCAAAAATTCAAACTAAGCTAAAATGGAAGGTTGTCAATTCTTGTTCTCATCAAAGACATTCCCCATCCACATTCTTTTCATGAAATTCTTTTTGGGATTCATGAGAAATCTGGATTTGCGTGCTTCGTGCATTTGGTAGATATGTCTCACTTTTGGAATATGCTATAGTAAATAGTTTTCCTCTGTTTTGATTTGAGAACTTTTCATTATTCGAATCCAGAACTTCTATCATATTTTTTCTAGAGCGTAACAGTTTCTATCGTCAACATGCTGAGCCATTTTTTTTGTCATCCTTGTTTTTCCTAATAAAACACGGCAGGATTCCATATCCGCCAATTGACATCATTTTTCTTCAATGCAGCTCTTCTCTATTGAAAATCATACTTAAAATGAGTTACCTCACGCTACTGAATCAAGGCATGTGATACGCCTTTTTTGTTTCTTGCCTTTAGTTAGCGATTAAGAAGTAAATATTTCCAGTGTAAATGTTGGAGACTTTTTTGTTGATATCTATTTCACTATTCCTAATACTTGTTTTTCTTATGAAATAGATTGCCAACCAAGGTCCAAGGCAACCATGGCATGATTTACATTGCAAGATTGAGGGCCCTGCAGCATATGATATAATGACAAATTTTGAACAGAGATGGGGAAGAGCTACAAAGTGGCGAGATTTGAGGAAGAAAGTTAGACATTGGCATGATGATGCTTTGATAAAGCTTGAAAGAATTTCATGGATAATTACACCCACTTCTGGAAAGTCTGATGCACATGTTTCAGAAGAAGAAGATCCTGAAAACTGGCATGTTCAGGTTTGTGACCTTCTATTACAAATTCTCTTTCGCACTTTAGTCTTATTTAAAACTTAAATCAGAACTACTATCATCGTGTCAGATCTTCCGCTCAATTGATTCAGGTTCAGTAATAGGATTCCCAAAAGTTGTTCAACAAGCTGAATTGAAGGTTAGCTCGACCAACAATATTTTCTTGTAGGGTTAATTGCGGATAGACCCCTGTACCATCACTCAAGTGCAGATTGACCCCCTGTTGTTCTGTTGTTGCAGATAGAACTCCTGTACTATCGCCCACTTGCGGATAGACACCCTGAGTGAAAGTTTTCGACCTTTTACTCTCAGGAAGTCGATTTGTCAAAACAGCAAGTTTCCTTTTCTTTGAGGATAAAAGAGTGAAAATTTTTCACTCAGGGGGTCTATTTGCAACAATAGAACTATATGGGACCTATCCATAACTAGGCAATCGTACATCGGGTCTATCCACAATTAACTCTTTCTTATGTGAAAGGGTTTCTGCAATAATAAGAGTCAATTTACTCATTATTTTGTAACTTAATGTTTTGAACGCATATAGTGCATTGCGTTGTGTTGCTGCAATCAGCTGCGACAAGTTAATAACAGCAGGTTCATTGTTTTGTGCTGATTAAGAAGTCTTTTCATTTTTTTGCAGAATCTTGTATGTGCAAAGAATGTGACGATAGACAAGAGCATACATAATGCATATGTGAAAGCAATAAGATCTGCACAGCATTTCATATACATAGAAAATCAGTATTTTCTTGGATCTTCTTATAGCTGGCCATCATACAAAAATGCAGGTAACTTAAGTGGGATAGGTTTTGTTCATTATGCTGATTAGGAAAGGTTTTATAGTCGATCAAGTTTCATTTCTATAAAACCTGATATTTCAGTTGCTATATGCAAATGCTAATTCTTATTGTCTTCATAAACTGAGGGGGATTCTAAAATTTTAACAAAACACCGGAACTTTGTGGGTATTGTGCAAAACCTCCCCTGAACTTTGTAAATCAGAAAGAACCATTGAACTTTAAAAATTGTACTTAACCTCCTAAACTATTTTAAATTCACATAAATGGTGTTAATGATAGAGCAAAAGGTCTAGACTGCCCTTGTTCATTTTTCACTTATCCTTACTTGACATTGATGACATAGAAGTCATATATGGTTAATACTGTTCAAAAGTTGTCCTGTAGAGCACAGGCAATTGTAAACTAACTTCTCTTTTAAATGGCTAACTACCGGAGATCACTTTGAGACATTCAATTTTTCATTCAGGGCCAAGCCTTTCTTGCAATTGATAAACTTGTTATCATTTCTGTTTTTATGTTTCTGGACAGCTATTTAGACTGATACCGGCCCTACAAACTCCATCTGTTGTTGTGCATGTCTGTCCTTGATGTTTTGCTATTTTGCAGTGCCTTTTATTGTGCAGTGACATGCCTTCTTTTAGCTTCTCTTGGTTTAGAGCTAATTTTCTTTTCTCTTAGCCTGTGCATTAATATAGATTCGTCTGCATTAGGTTCCTAAATTAAATCTATATCTATACTACTATAAAAAGAGGATTGGGGTGTTAAAACTTTTAATTTTCTTTTTTACCCTTTCAGATTTTGATAAATTCTATCCATGTCATTATCTCTAATTAATCTTTCATTAAATAAATATAACCACTTATTAATTATGCACTCCTCACCTTCCCAAATAATTATAATTATCAATAATATTATAACTATTAATTGTTTAAACAATAAAAAATAATTTATAAAGTATGTATACACAATTATTAGTAGTTGCCAATTAAATTATTATTATTTATGAATTATAATAAAATAATTAAAATAATAGTATAAATAGAATAATATATTACTAAATACTATTAAGAATTATACTATAATTCAATAAGCAATAAATTAAATAGAATAAATTTTGAATCTCATAAATAATGTAATTATTATTTTAATAATATCACATAAATTACGAATTACACTATTTAATTAGTATTATATTATTAAATAAATTAAATACATAATTTAATATTATTTTTAGAGTATTTTCTCAAAGATTATTACATGATACTGAATAATCTTAACTTGGTAGTAATTGATAACTAACGTTTTCACGAAAAAATTATTTAATACTAATAATAATGCTATAATGTTAATGACATAATAAAAATTTATAAAATATTTACAGTACTAAATTATTTTAAGAGCATAATTAAAAAATTAAATTAGATAAATATTTTATAGTATATAGACAGTATAACTATTTTATTACTTGAACTAAAAACTATAATAATGAATAAGGAAAATTATAGTAAACGCCCATGAACTTTTAGCATTTGCAGTAAATAAACCCATTAAACTTTTGTAGAAAGGCCTCAATATCTTTTAGATAAATTATACCAAACCCCTAATAATTTTTAAAATACCTTTTTATGCCATTTTCTAGTTCTAATTTATGAGGATTATTTGCAAAATTTAGAAAGTAACTGGGGGTCTTATTTGAAATAGAAACGTCATTAGGGATTCAGTGTAATTCTAAAAGTTCATATGAGTTAAAAGTTTACAAGGGTTTAGTGTAATTTACCCTATTAAATAATTATAATAAAAAGTAACTATTATAATATGTTACAGGTATCAAGCGTAACTATCTAGGGAACATCATGAAAAAGCTAGCAAGATTAATGTAACTTAGTTAATTTAGAATTAAGCTTATAATTTTCAAGTTGGAGGGGCATATTTAAGTAAGGGCTTGTTTGGTTATTTCCTAAAAAACCAAAAAATAGAAATGAAAACCAAGAAATCTCAAAAAGTACAATTTCACACATTTCCATCCCTAAAACTCACCCACAACATCTAATAAAATATTATTTTTATCTAACAACTCATCCACCACATCTAATAAAAAATTATTTTCATCCATAACATCACTCAACTCATCTCATCTCATATTTAAAAATCACTTACATCATCCAATAAGATTGTGACAACTCATCTCATCTCATTAACATTTCATTTCTTTGTTTTCCTCCCAAAAAGCTACGAAAACAATTTCCTTAAGTGTGAGTCACATCATCCAATAATATAATGACAACTCATCTCATCTCATCTATTTTCTTATTTTTAAGAAATAACCAAACAAAAGAAAACAACCTATTACAAGAAATAGGTTTCTTATAATTCATTTCCTTATTTTTTCCGCCAACCAAACAACATTAAAACAAGTTTTCTTAAAAAATCACTCTCATCATCCTATAATAAGGTGACAACTCATCTCATCTCATCTCCATTTCTTTGATTTCCTTCTTTTTTTAGCCAACCAAACAATCCCAAAACCTATTTCTACCTATTTTTCTTAGAAATAGGTTTCCTTTTCTTTGATTTCCCTCTTTTTTTAGGCAAACAAACAGCCCCTAAAACTACTTTTCTTTTTTGCTCCGTCACAGATTTTCCTTCCATTTGATAGCAATATATGGCAGTTATAGATTATAATCTACACGTTTTTCGCTGTCAAATTTTGTTCATTACATAATCGGTTCTGTTTGTATAATGTTTCAGCTTCATGTTATATGTATTTAACTAGACTTGATCTCTTTTCTCCAAAAAGAGACTCAATGCTAATATCTTTTCTCTCTTCAGAAAATTTTGACCTGAATACTTGTTCACTATGCACTATCTTTTATTTGGACATTAAACTAACATAAAGTCTCTACTTAGTTTTTATTTGTGTTGTTGGAACTAGGTGCGAATAATCTGATACCAATGGAACTGGCTTTGAAGATTGTGAGCAAAATCAATGCACATGAAAGATTTTCTGTGTACATTGTAATACCAATGTGGCCTGAAGGAATTCCTAATGCTGCTGCTGTGCAGGAAATTCTTTATTGGCAGGTTAGAAGTTTCTTTTATAGGAATGCTTATAGATGTTATATTTCTGAAGTACAATAGTTAGAGGACTGTCTATGCTATCAAATGATCGATTTTCTTTATGGAATTTAATAGAGAAATGCTAGTATTTTCCTCCTTGCGTCCAAGAAAGATTATGCATTGATTTCAAGGTAGAATAGAACATGGGATGGAGCACTCACTTTAACATAAACTGCAATTATGTTCCAAAAGACTCATTTTCCTATAATAACCATGTTATGTGGAGAATAATCATGTAAGATCATGTAAGATTATTATAAGTAAATCATTTTCCTATAATAACCATGTTATGTGGAGAATAAACTGCATATTTCTTATAAACGAATCATCTGTGTCACTATTATTGTTGTCTCTCAAATGAAGGAAAAATTGTTTCTTAAGAAAAATTTACTTTTTCTCTAGTTTGAAATACTTGATGATCATGTCTAATTGCTCTAAATCAAATATAACGTCTGACAGGGACAAACAATGTCGATGATGTATCGAGTTATTGGACAGGCACTGGAGAAAGCAGGTCTTTCTGAATGTAATCATCCACGAGATTTTTTGAACTTTTACTGTCTTGGTCGGCGCGAACCAGAACTTAAAGAAGCATCATCATTGGCGAATAATCCTACTGACAACAGTGCACTGGTATGTCTTATCATAATTCTTGTATACCTACTTTATTCTTGAATTAACTGTGATATAGTATATAAAATGGTAAATCGCCTCTCGTCCTTTTGGTATCTGATTGCATTCTTTAAACTCTTGGCATGTCTTGTTTTAAATGCTTTTAAAACAAGACATTGAAAATCCTTTTCTTTCTTTTTAATGCCTTTCAGCCCCAGAATTTCTATTTTTCTCTGTAACTATTATTTCTTCTAAAACTTATTGCCTGCATAATCTAAAAGTAGTGAGTTTGTGGACAAGAACAGTGTGGATAGAAATAGCAGCGCAGAGACTTACAAGAATTTTTTTTTTGGGAGGGGGAGGGGATGAGTATACCTTTTAAGAGTCTATGAGACTTAAAAAATCATTTAAAATTGGGTAAATTTCACTAAACCCCAAGAAGTTTGGGCACTTTTCATTTAGTCCGTAAAATGTTGAAATGTCCTAGGTTGAACGCATACGGGTGCAGAGAAGAACACAGACAGCGGACACAGCAAATCTGTGAAAGACAGGATACGGGGACATTGATATAAATACATATGTGCTTGCATATATGTATCTATATATAGTATTTACATTAGATCAAATATTATATTAAAATACTTATAACATTTGTATGTTTTTTTACTATCTTAGAAAATAAAAAATTAGGTTAAATCAAACTAAGAATTAAGGTCTAACAAAAAAAGTTTAGTTTTGATCGCATGAGCAATGATGAGTAATTTTCAAATCTCTAAGTAATGGTTTCGGTTTTCGGCTTCCAAAACATATTGGTTTTGAGCTCGAAATACCAAAGAATTTAGTTTTGGATTATAAGTAATAGGGAAATAAAGTTTTGCTTTGAACCTCACGTATCCATGGCGTGTCCGCGGAGAATCCATGTCCGACAAGTGTCCGACATGTATACAGCACCCAAAACGAAGTGTCCACGTAACGAAGTGTCCACGTAACCTAGGAAATGTTACCCCAGTGAGTTTAGCTTTTTCACTTAGCCCCTCAAAACATAATAGAGCATGTTTGGAAATATTGTATCATGTAGATACAATATTATTTGCCCAGCTAAAATTGTAAGATATGGGTGGATAGAAGATTGCGAAAATCAATTACAAATTTTGTAGAGCATATGCAAGCAACATGTAGACACATTGATATTGTCATCCTAGGATGATATTAACTGCCAATATACAAGATAAAATTTGTTAACAGTAATAAATATTAGAAACCATTTAGTATGACTACTTATTATGTTATTAACAAAAAATACCTTCAGAAAGTAAATACTTTCTGCAAAACTTTTAATTAGTTGTCACTTGTCAGAGCACGTCATAGAACTGGTATTAATTAGATTGTTTTATCTTCCCTGGAACTTCCATAAGCTGTTATTGCTCTCTAGGTCTTTCCATACTAGTTTAATACTTCTCTAACCATAATAATTTACTTTCCTTCCTTTTATTTGTTTTTTCTTTTTTTTTTCCAGCGTTCTACTCAGAAGTTCCGCAGATTTATGATCTACGTCCATGCAAAAGGGATGATTGTGGATGATGAATATGTAATTGTTGGATCTGCCAATATTAACCAAAGATCTATGGACGGATCAAGAGATACTGAAATAGCGATGGGTGCTTATCAGCCACACCGTTCATGGGCCAGAAAAGGTAGCCATCCACGTGGACAGGTATGAACTGTTTCTTAAATTACTTTCAATCACTTGAGATATACAGTAAGATATGGGATAAAAAGAGTGTGCTAGTAGGAAGTTAGAGATTGCTCGGTTTGCATTGAGAGTAAAATGAGAGAATAATTTGAGGTAGTTTGTCATACTATGGAATGGACGTCATTAAATGCACTAATTAGAAGAAGTGATAAAATATAAGTCATAGAAAAAGAAAGGCTAGAGGTATGCCTAACAGAATTAGGTCTGTTAAAATTGACGCGATAATGATTAACTTATAGGAGGAGGTTGCTCTTTACAAAACAAAGGCGAAGAGAAACCTTTATGCTGGACTCAAATTTCTGAAGTTGAGTCGTTTAATCAGTATACTCTTATTGAAGTCCATAAGTCAGCATATTAAACTTGTTCAATGACAATCATCTGCTAAAGAAATGAGGATGGTTAATGGTTTTAGTTGAAATAGAAACCCTAATCTTATTATGAGATCTCTTGGGCTTATATAGGCCCCTACACAACTTACAAATAAGTCCCTAACTAATACTAATATGTCAACACTCCTTCTCAAGATGGGCGAAAGATATCTACTAAGCCCATCTTGTCACATCCTCTAATCATATCTACTGAGCTAAGTCCTTTAGTCAGACAATCTGCTGCCTGGTCCTTAATCGAAACATGACTTAGCTCCAGTAGTCCACTATCCAACTTCTCTTTGATGAAGAACCTATCGATCTCGATGTGTTTGGTTCTATCATGCTGCACTAGGTTGTTGGCGATACTGATGGCTGACTTGTTATCACACAACTTCATCTTAGCTCCTTGATCCAGCTTCAGCTCCACCAGCATACTCTTCAACCATAGCAACTCAGCAACTCCTAAGGTCATAGCTCTATACTCTGCCTCAGCTGTCGATCTCGCCACCACCGACCCTCCTACAAAGATACAATATCCTGAGGTGGATCTCCTGTCATCAGCACAGCTAGCCCAATCAGAGTCACAATAGCCCTCAATGCTCATGTGTTCATTCTTCCTGAAGATTAGCCCTTTTTCGGGGGCATTCTTCAAATACCTTAGAATCTGGTACACTGCGTCCATATGATCCTTCCTTGGATCATGCATGTAGCGACTCACTACGCTCACTGCAAAAGAGATATCGGGACGTGTGTGACACAGATAGATCAACCTGCCCACCAGCCTTTGGTATCTGTCACGATCAACTGGTTCTCCAGTTTCAGCACTCAGCTTAAACTTCTGGTCGATCGGTGTAGTTGCAGGTTTGCATCCTAATATTCCTGTCTCTTTGAGAAGATCCAGTACATACTTTCTCTGGGATAGGACGATCCCCTCCGCTCCTCGAGCTATCTCTATTCTAAGAAAGTATCGAAGCAAACCAAGATCTTTCACCTCGAATTTCTTACCCAGTCTCACTTTGAGTTGGGCAATCTCCTTCTCATCATCCCCTGTAATAATCATATCATCCACATATATTACAAGTAAGGTGATGTGACCTCCACTTCTTCGAAAGAACACGGTATGGTCGGCCCTGATCTGCTGGTACCCCATACCAATCATAGCCCTCCTGAATCTGTCAAACCAAGCACGAGGAGACTACTTTAGCCCATAGAGAGATTTCTTCAATCTGCAGACATTTCCCACTGTCTGATCTGTACCGAATCCTGGTGGTATCTCCATGTATACCTCCTCCACTAGATCTCCATGAAGAAATGCGTTCTTCACATCTAGTTGGTGTAGCTTCCATCCACCATTTACTGCCAGAGAGATTAAGGTCCGAACAGTGCTCATCTTTGCCACCGGTGCAAAAGTCTCATCATAATCGATGTCATATGTCTGACTATACCCTTTTGCCACCAGACGAGCCTTGTAGCGTTCAACTTGCCCATCTGGATTCTGCTTCACAGTGAAGACCCACTTACATCCAACTGCTCTCTTTCCTTCTGGTAGTTTTACTAGCTCCCAAGTACGGTTCTTCTCAAGAGCCCCTAGCTCCTTGTGCATAGTCGTTTTCCACTTTGGGTCCTTCTTAGCAACCTGCTAATTGTTAGGTATAGTAACAGAGTCCAATGATGCAATGAATGCTCCATGTGCAGGGTGGATATTAGAATATGATACAAACTGGGCAAGATCCCAACCATATCTATCGGGAGGATGTCCCGCATTGCTACGAGTGGTCCTCCGTACTGATATTAGTGTGGGAGGAGTAAGGAGAGGAATGATATCACCTTGAGAGGAATCTGATGATGGTGTAGATGTCTCAGGAGTCGGGGCAGGCGTTGATAAGGGACTTGGCACTAGTGGCACTGTAGGTACCGTTTCTGTAATTTGCTTTCCCTTCCTACTATAGGTAAGTAGCTCTCCCTGAACCGTGGGCCTAACACCTCTTGTCTCCTTATCCTCTTCTTCTTTATTCTCCTGCTCCTCAACCAATTCTCCTTCCCAAGGAATCGTTAGAGAAATCGATTTCTCCATATTATCCTGTCTCTCACCATTCTCCCCTTCTCGTCTCATACTTCCAGTATTGGGCGAGTCACCAACGGATGAGGGTACCTTCTGTGTGTAATATGGCTCAAATTCACGAACAGTCTTTTCTCCACCGGGCTCCAGCAAACATATCCCTTTTGAGTAGCAGAATATCCCACAAAAATGCACTTCACCGCTCTAGGGGCAAGCTTCCCGACTGATGGTCTGTTGTCCTTCACAAAGCACACACGAATCCCACCATTATCTCCTTTCAATGTCTCACACGGAGACTTCCAATCCAGTACTCTCGAGGGCATTCTGTTGATCAGCGCCGCTGCAGTCAACACTGCTTGCCCCCATAATGTTTCTGGGACATTCATGGAGATCATCATACTTCTAGCAACCTCTAAAAGATGTCTGTTCTTCCTTTCTGCTACCCCATTCTGAGCTGGTGTGTATGGACACATAGTCTGGTGTTGTATTCCCTGAGATGATAAGTATTCTCCAAACACTCTGTTGGTGTACTCTGTCCCATTATCAGATCTCAATACCTTCACCACTGCTCCATATTGAGTCTGAACATTCCTATGAAAGTTTTGAAAGCAGCCAAACACTTCACTCTTATTCTTCATCAGGTATAACCAAGTAACGCGAGAGAAGCAATCATTGAAGGTAACAAAATACTTGTATCCATTCATAGAACTTGTGGAACATGGCCCCCACACATCTGAATGTATTATATCAAATGCATAAGAACTCTTATGATCAGAACTAACATAAGAGCTTCTAGTAAGCTTTCCCAACTTACATGCATCACACACAAATTTCTCTTTATTTACTTTCTCAAATAAAGATGGATACAACCTACTTAAAACACCGAAAGAAGTATGTCCCAAGCGTTTGTGATGAAGCATCAACACACTCTCAGCACTCATCTCAGATCCTACTCCTGCTCTCTACCATTGACACCAAAGCTGAATCTAGCCCTTCACAATCCAGATACCACAGTCCATTACGCCATGTGCCAGTCCTAAGTCTTTGTCCTGTCCCCTTCTCCTGAAAGATCACCTTGGGAATATCAAAAGAAACAATACATTTTAGTTGGAGGAGGAGCATGCAAAACATTGGACAAAGTTACAGAACCAGTACAATCGACTGTACCCTTACCAACCACCGGCTGAAATGTACCATCAGCTGTTTGAATACTATCAGGCGATGCTAGGTGAGTGTATGATGAGAACTCACTAGCATTACCTGTCACATGCCGAGACGCACCGGAGTCGACTATCCATTCTGATGATCTGTTGGGAGACATAGAAGCAAGAGCATGTATGTCATCAGTACCTTTGGTCGGATGAGCATAGGTAGCAGTGTTGCTTTTGGCGAAGAACGAAGTGGATGCCTCCTCAGTCCCACTCCTCAAGTCTCCATCCCCTGCTACTTGCTGTTTTTTTCTGAGTATCGTCAGGAGAGCACGATCCTCCTCTGTAAAGACCACCTCAGCTTCTTCTTCCTCTGCGCTAGAGGCTGCCAGTGCTGACTTTACCACAGGAAGTCCACCTGTCCCCGCCTGCAGCCGAATGCGAGTCTCCTCCTGGATCATAGCAGAGACAGCCTCCTCAAGCGTGAGAATCTTTGGCTGAGCTAGCAGCAATGCGATTCATTGAGCGAACTCTGATGTCAATCCTTTGAGAAACACCATAGTCCTCTCCTGTAGAAAGGCCTCCCGTTCTTTACATCCCGGGTCCTTGCAGCTCGCCCGAGGTGAGAAGTGATCATAATCTAGCCCACAGCCGCTCCAGCTCTGTGGCATACTCTGCGTACAGTTCTTCCCCCTGGACTTGCGTCGATCTCACCCTTAATCTGGAACACCTTCAGGTATTCCCACTCCATCATATGGTCCTCCTCACTTTTCCCAGACTCCTTCACCTTCTCAATGCTCATCCACTGTGGCGGCTGATCGACTGGACTAACTGATGTGTGAGGAGCCATATGTATACCAACATATGGTAGTAGCCTTCCACTCATCTCTACCCTCAGAGTCCTCATTCCGGCCTCTGTCACCTCTCCTCGTCAGAATAACCCTCCAGGTTCCTCCTTGCAAGGGTGTATCTCACCCGCCGTGACCAGCCTCAGGTAAGTACCCGGGTCCATCAAGCCTTCAGATTATGTGATAGGAAAAGTTCCAACTTCTTGGATGGTATTTGTCGCCGCTCTCACCAGCCCGCACAACTTCATCAACTTTCATCAAAGTTGACACCTCCGCCGGGGTTCAACTTCTTGATAATCTCCTCCATTGATCAAGCTTCAGACAACACCTGGATCACCGTTTTTCTCTTCTGACTTGTTGTGTGTAGTGAAAAATTTCGGCAGCACTCTGCTACACAACAAGATAAGATCTCAGACAAACTCTTGGTTCTCAGAGCGAACAAGAAAAAAACAGGTGACTATATCTCATCGCGTGAGATTATACTTTCCTGTCATCAGTTCGAGGACTGAGTTCGAGGAACAGGAATTCATGTCAAACTCGGGTTCGACCGGATGAGCAAAGGGGGGTTGGGTCTGAAGCGGGGTGTTGTTGGCCGAGAAGGGGTGTTCGGAAGGGGCGGGGGTTTGATCGAATGGGCGGAAGCGAGCCGGGGGCTGATCGGAAGGTGAAGGAAGAGGAGGGGGGGGGTGGGGGCTGATCGAAGGTGGGGTGGGTGGGGGTCTGTCGGAAGTGGGAGGGGGGTTCCGGTGATCTGAAATGAGGGAGGCGGGCGGTTCCGGTGATCGAAGAGGGAGGGGGGTGGGGCTGATCGGCCAAGCAAGGGGGGCGGTTGGCGGATGGTGGGGGAGGCAGCCGGGTGAGGAGGGGGTGGGGTGGGGTGGCGGCGGCTAGGGTTTGGAGGAGTCTCTGATACCAAGTTGAAATAGAAACCCTAATCTTATTATGAGATCTCTTGGGCTTATATAGGCCCCTACACAACTTACAAATAAGTCCCTAACTAATACTAATATGTCAACAGTTTTGGTCTTATTTTCCATGCAAAGTTAAGGGCGTTATCTGAAATGTAGCTCATAAATGTATAACTGATCTTTACTGGTAACACACTTGGACGCTTTGCAATTTAACTAAGAATGCTTTACAGGTTTACGGGTACAGAATGTCACTTTGGGCCGAACATTTGGGACGTTTAGAGGAATGTTTCGAGGAGCCAAATACTGTACGATGTGTTAGACGTGTCAATGAACTTGCAGAAGAAAACTGGCAGGCGTACGTAGGTCCCGAAAACAAGAAGATGAAAGGGCATTTGATGAGGTACCCAATTCATGTCGAAAGAAGTGGAAGAGTCCGAAGCTTATCAGGGTATGAGAGCTTCCCTGATGTCGGCGGAAAGGTCCTCGGATCGCACACTACACTTCCTGATGCTCTGACAACATAGTAGCTCTATGGAAGATAAAATGAAGAATGTTTTTCTCAAGAATACTGAAGGCATTGAGAGTTTAATGCATGAAGCATGCGTCAGTAATTGCTTTAGATGGTTGCTGCCTTAGCGTTTTCTCATGATGTTAGATTGAATGCATGTATAATTCATTGAAGAATTTGGATGTGGTAGAAGCTCAAAAGATGTGATTGTTGAGTTAGTACAGTTGTGGGATACGTAGAACTTTTTTTTATTTTTATTTTTTAATATATCAACATGCGGTTTTCTCTTTTTTTTTTTTGTTTTTAAAGGAAAGGCTGGAGCGTACTATGTACAAAAATGTTTGTCTCTAAATTACCTAGATGCACTCAGCATAGGTTAAACTGATCTCTCTCTTTTTTTTCTTTTCTTCCCCTATTTTATTCTATAAGAGGTAGATTTTTAGATATTGGTCCCTCAAACCATTGAAAGTAGTATTGAGTGAATCCATATAATTTACTCCAAATCAGTCCATCAGTTAGTATTAAGGCCCGAGGCCTCGAGCAACAAACTGCCAGGATTGAAACAGGCCAATATTCTTCTTTCAAATGCAACGTCAGCGTACACTGTTTTAGAGCAAAATCAAAATCGTTCAGCCATCGTTAGTCCACCTCATTCCCATATGATCACGTGTTCTGAAGTACGAGGCATCATATTTAGTGATAATCTCCTCGGTTTATGCTACAGACATGCTTTCTTTACTAAGGCTCGCGAGCTGTTTGATAGAATGCCCATTAGAAGTATTGGGACGTTGAATACTGTAATGGATGGATACTCTCAAGTGGGTTTTGCTGCCCGAGACTTGAACATGTGTAATCAAGCGAAAAACGGGAGATTTAGGCTTGATAGATTCGATTACGCTGGAGCTTTGAACGTCTGTGCTCAGACTGGGGACTTGAGAAATGGAAGGGTAGTTCATGGATTGGTTGTTGTCAGTGGATTAGCTCGTCGGGCTTACTTGACTAGTTGTCTTATCGACTTGTATTCAAAATGCGGAAATATTGATGAAGCAAGATATGTGTTTGATCGAGCTGTTGAATTGGATGATGTTTCGTGGAATTCGTTGTTCTCGGCTTATGTTAATATAGGGTGGCCAGAGGTAGCTACAGATGTGCTTGTTTGGATGCATAGAAATGGCGTAAGTTTGAACGGTGTTGCTCTTCATCAAGTCCTCAGAGCTGTTTACTTGGGCTTTGATGATTCGGAACAAGCTAGGAGATTGCTTCATGGGTGCATAATCAAAGTTGGGTTGGATTTGGGCTTTTTTGTAGGCAGTGCTATGTATTATATTTTTGCAAAGAATGGTGGATTGGATGAAGTTCTTGAAGTTTTTGACTGCCTATATAATCCGAGTTTGGTAGTCTTCAATGCCATGATCAGGGGATTCTCTCAGTTAGGTACGGAAACATGCACCAAGGTACAGGGAGTAGCTCTGAGACTTTATGTTGAAATGATGAGAATAAAAATGAAGCCTTCAAATTTAACATATAAGAGTGTTCTTGAGGCTTGTATTTTTAACAGGGAATTCGAGTTTGGGGAGCAAATTCATGCCCATACCATCAAGAACAAGCTTGAAGAAGATAAGTTCATTGCAAGTGCATTAATCATGATGTATTCACGCTGTGGTTTAGTTGAAGAAAGCTTAAAATGTTTTGAGTCTACTCCTATCAAAGGCACTGTCACTTGGGGATCCATGATCCAAGGCTATATTCAAAATGAACATTTAGAAAAGGCAATGCACTTGTTCCGAGATTACCTGCGTCTTGGGATAAAGCCTTGCCAGAATATCATATCAAGCCTAATGGTTGGTTCAGGGAATTTAGGGGCGGTTAGAGTTGGAGAACAAATTCATGCCAATTCGGTTAAAAGTGGGCTCGATCAAAGCACTCTTAGTTGTAATTCTCAGATGTTCTTTTATTCCAACATTGGAGACATTGATGTTTCCGTTCAGATATTCGAGGGTATTGCAACTACTGATGTTGTGTCTTGGTCTTTAATGATCTTAAGTCATGCTCTTCATGGTAGGGCAAAGGATTCTCTACTTCTCTTTGAGAAGATGAAAGAATTCAAGGTTTCGCCAAAAGAAACTACCTTTCTTGCTCTGCTTACCGCTTGTAGTCATGGAGGGCTAATTCATGAAGGTTTTAGGTATATATCTCTTTCTTTGTTCAGTTAAATTTCTTTTACATGAAGTGTAAATTAGTTTTGGATCTTAGCATTATGACCCATATGGCACTGACTACAATAAAGTGTGTATTGGCTAAAGACATGACAAGATGACATTCTTTAAATCTAGGACTTGAAACAGCTTAAATAATTATTCATCAAAATATACAAGCATTTTATTATAACTATTTTTTTCATTTAAACTACACAAAAATATTAAGATAGAGTAAGAAAATCAGATAAAGTCTAGTAAAGAGACTTTTATAAATTATGAGTGTGACAGCTTCATTTTAGAATCACGATTCATAGGTTCAAGCCTATTTTATATCATGTTGAACGGAGTCAATACATGTCTTCTTTTGAATTTATCAATAAGGTTAGTTGCACATGGACCTATGTGCCTAGTTGCAGATAAACCCCCGTAATTATATTGTCGTTGATAGACGCCCTTTACTATGGCCCAAGGGCAAATAGACCACTAAGTGGACTTTTTTTTTCTCTCTTTTATCCGCAGGAGGTCAACTTGTCAAAGAGCAATTTTCTCTTCCTTCTGAAATTTAAAGAGTCAAAAATATTCACTTAGGGGTCTATTTGACAGTAGAACTACATGGGGTCAATCAGCAACGGGACCAGGGGTCTATCTACAATTAGCACTTTAAATATGACAGATTGATAACAACAAGTTTTTCAGAATCCATCAGAACAAGGTTTACTCTTAATGACTGCATACTGAAATGTAACTCTAATTTCTATTGACAGATACCTAGAAAGCATGAAGATGGAGTATGGCTTACAACCAAATGCCGACCACTACGCACACATAGTTGACCTACTTGGTCGAGATGCCCAATTTTCGGAGGCTGAGGAGTTCATCTTAACTTCAAATTACAATAATGACCCCACCATGTGGTCGGCCTTATTGAACTCTTGCCATTTTCATGGAGATAAAGAGTGGAGCATTCGTGCAGCGGAAAAGCTAATGGAGCTTGATCCCTTATCCTCCACAGCCTACATGTTACTCTATAGAATTTACTCAGAAATGGGGAAAATGTCTTTAGCAATGAGAATCAGAGGTAGGATGAGAGAACGAGGGGTAAACAAGGAAACTGATGTCAGTTGCATTGAGATTGGAGCATCAGTTCATTCTTTTGTTGATGGTGATGACTCTCATCCAAAACCTGACATGATCTTTGAGAAGTTAGAAGGGATGCTGGTTAAGATAAAGAAGAGGGAGAGCTTGATGAGGAGTCATGGTGAGATTTTGGCTGTTGCTTTTGGGGTGATTTCTTTGCCTGAGTATGTTCCAATTAGGGTGATGAAGAATAGGAGGATGTGTTGGGAATGTCATATAATGTTGAAATTGTTTTCGAAGAGTGAAAGAAGGAAAATTATCGTTAGAGATCAGACTCGGATTCATTGTTTTGATCAGGGTTCTTGTTCCTGTGGGGATTACTGGTAGCAGCATTCTTTATAAGCTTAATTCAGTTTTCTTCAAGTGTAATATAAGAGAAGAAAAAAAAAATATTTTTGAAGAAGTCAGATGGAGGGATCTCAGAATTCAAGCTGAGAATTGATGGATGATGAAGTCACCTCACAATTGCAGTGGGCATGTCCTCATAGATGGCTGAGGAAAGAAAGAAGTCCATGAAGTGACCGCTTACTATTTGTAAGTATTATTAATTTTTTTTGTAGCCATGTTATTTTTCATCTCAATTTATTTAATATTTTTTAATCAATTTAGTTTTGCGCTAAGTGCGGTATCTTCCCATGGAAATAGTTATATCAAGGATAATCTTATGATGGACTTTTGAGCTGAGTAGAGATTGAGCTACCAGCTGCCTGCTCAATTAACTAATCATCTTCACTTTTCAACAATTAACTCAAATCCTCCGAAACTTAAAATCAGAAGCAAGGATTCCTGGGGCTCATACTTGCTTTAGCCTTCCTTTTTTGCTCCTTATGACTTCCTCTTTCAACAATGATCTTAGTTCAAGGTCCTTGAGTCCTTTGAATTCAGTAATACTGCTTTGAGAGGTACATAATTCATGAAGTTTTCAGTCTTCAAGATGTAGGTCAGGGCACTTAAGGATTACTCCTTTGGGAAGTTACAAATCAAAATGAATGGGCAGAAGAATTGGTTCCTCTGGGATCTTTTGACCCAAAATATCATTAAATAAACAGAAACCTATATTACCTCCACTGGTAAGCATACATTTGAGTACTTCTATTGCATTAAAGGGGAGAAAAGGAGGAGGATAGGCGCAAATTTAGCAACATGAAAGTCAATAAAAAGGTGCAAAATAGCATACCTTTGTCACAAAGGATAGGAGTTCGTTGCCATGTCAATCGAATATGTAACCTAAGATCTGCCAACCATCAAGAATCTTGTACAATCCAATCTGATATATAAGTACCTCCCATAGAACAAAGGAATGAATTGGATTGTTAAGACTCTTGGGTACCAATGACCTCAAACTACTTACTGTCCTTTGCCAATGGGAAGATTGAAAAGAGTGAAAAAAAAATATGAAAGATTATTAAAAGAGTGGCAAAGGAAGATTGAAAAGAGTGAAAATAGTATGAAAGATTATTAAAAGAGTAAGTAGCATACGATGAAGTTTCTTTTATTGCATTAAAACTCAAATGTACAGAATCAATGAGGCGTATCAATGATCTATTTGCCGAAACTTGACATTAAACTGATTAGAGCATAAAATAAAAATAAAAACAGCATCACTGCAAACAGAAGGATTCTGTTCAATTACATTTGGAATATTTACTTATCTATTTTTTTTGGATCTACTTCTCAAGTAACAATGCTATACTCCTCAAAAAATAAAAATTAAAAAGAAAATTGTCATTCCCAACTTTCTCATGTTTTTCCTTAAATAATTAATCTTACATGAGGTCTCCCCTAGTTTATTAACCAAAACCTTCACAAATTCTCTTTCATCGGTGAACAGTTGAAATACTAGTCAATTGGGTGTTTAGCCTGTTAGACCCTAGGGGGGTGATTAGGGTCTTATGCTAATCTAATCCGATTATATGCCAATTAAAATTAATTAACAAGTTATCCTAGCAAGAATGAAATGCAATAAGATATATTAGCTAGGATAAGGCAATATGAACAATGAAATATATATCCTATATCATAAATATATGCAAGGATATATAAACTAGTACAAGATGATATATCCTACCAAAAAGATATACAATATGATATATGCAAGGATATGTAAACTAACACAAGGGTAAACAATATGAACTAGATAGTAGATGATAAAAATAATGAGCTATGGACAATGGTGACAAGAAATATAAACATAAGATTAAGAGCGCCAAAGCAAACTCAAACACACGATATGATCACGGAGTTCGGACCTTTCGTCCTACGTCTCCGCTCTCCTCTCCCGGGGAGAAATCCACTATCACAACCGGATTTTCTACGCTCACCCGAATAACGTTTACACCTTACAAAGTCGGTTTTCAACGTTCACCGATCAACGTTCACAATCACTCACAATATCGGTTTTCAATGCTCACCGATCAACGTTCACTCCTCACACTCAAGCACAATTACAACAATTGTTTGTTCTCTAATATGGATGAGAACACAATGAAAAATCTCACACTCAATTGTTACAACTCTCACCAACCCAAATATACTATGTATGAAAATACAATAAGCTCAACTCTCACCAACCCAAATATACTATGTATGAAAATACAATAAGCTCATGTGGGTGTGTGTAAGCAATGAGTGAAATAAAATCAAATCTAAACTCAATATAAAAACTAGCTTTAACGAATGATAATCAAATAACTAAGCAAATGTAAAGCTAGATAAGAGTTTAGAAAACTTCTCTATAAACACAAAGGAGAGGATGAAGAAGATTGAGGATGAATCCCTCAATTGACAACATAAGCTTCCTCCTTTGTAAACACAAACCCCAAACTTAAAACAAACTGTAAAACCCTCTTAAACTTGTTTAAAACTATCTCATTGTATGTGAAATGATAAATACAATGAGGTATATATAGGGTAGAAGAAAACAACCCTAAAAACCCTAAAAAACCACTAAAAGATAAAAATCAGCAAGTTATCGTTACTGTGCAACGGTAACATTGGCGGTCGACCGTCGCAGTCGACCGTGAGAAGAAAAACTCAAAAACTGCTCTCTGGACTGCGTACTGGTCGAGCCGCCACGCGTCGACGTATGTAGTACGGTGCGACCGTGCGGTGATCGCACTGTTAGCAACGTGCACAAACAATTTTAGGTTTTGACAGATTCTGGAAATTTGCGTATCTGATTTTGTAAAATCAATTAAAAATAGTAAATCAATTCCAAAAATCATGAAATTTTGAGAAAAGGTTATAGACATGTAGATTAACATGTTAGAGAAAGAATTTCGGAAAAATCACTTCCCAGTTGATAGAAATAAATGTTTGAACACAGATAAACAGTTTCTGAAAAAACTGCTGAAAACTCGGTTTTGTAAATTCAATTGAAAATAACAAAACAACTCCAAAATTAGTAAAACTTGGGAAAATGTTTGTATATATGAAGATAATTTCCCAATTGTGAAAACTCATCTGTTTTGTAAAAACATGCACGAACATGAACTTTAAACATGCACGAACAAAACTTGTTAAAACTTGATTTTGAAAAATTCATTCCAAACAAATTTCAAAACACTTTCCAATAGGTTTATAGACTTGATAAAAGATATTTCATCATGTTAATAAGTCTACAATCCAAAACAACGATAAATCAAAATAAACGTATATGTGTATGAAATTGAGCTTGAAGTATTGAACACACATAATATAACACCTAAACTAATTTACCAAAGCTTGTGATCTTCAATGAAGCTCTTCTTGGTAAATATTGCGGAAGAAGCTTGAACTTGGATCTTGACTTGAATGCATAGGCTTCACTCCACTATTCCGTGAACCTTCATTGAATATGATCGTTGAGGCTCTATTCCATCCATCCTCCAATATATTATTTGTCTAAAATAAATAACAAAATACAAATACTAGACAAATAATATTAGATATAAATTGTTTGTTAAATCATCATCAAAATAAGAAGGCCAACATAGCCCTCTAGTACTGAGGACACAGATCCTCAAGATCCAGATCATGGGGGGTTCAGTGCGCTCATTGTATGAGAAATGTCCAACAGGAAATGTATTCTATTTAACTCAGTGGTTGACGTTGCAAGAGGAACAGGAATGAAATTGCGGTCGGCATAAATGTGTTCTAATTAACTCAGTAGTTGACATTGCAAGAGGAACACAGATATGAAATTGCAGTCAGCATATTTTAACGTCCAACTGCTTACTTTGAAAGCTACATCATGAACTGTCACTATTTAACTGATGCTTTTGACCAATATTACACAATAATGAAAAAGCGACCTACCTCATGGATATGCATTAACATATTCAAAAATTAAAAATAAGTAAGAAATTTTGATTTAGACCTCATATTGCCCAAGAAAAGGGGTAATTGCTCAGACAATTCATGTATTCTAAGAAGCATGCTTTTACTTCTTGTTCTAGAGTACCTTGGTCAGCAACATTTCAGAGCACAACGCAGTTTTCAACAGATTTAAAGCCTACAACAGGAACCAGTATCCTGGACAATGAAATAATGCTTACAGAAAACTAATCAGATGCGTAAAACTAAATTACCTGTCTCTCCAATGCTAACCTCCTTCTGCATGATATTACTGATAGAAACTTCCAACTCATCGACTATACGGACTGTGGAGATCGGTGACAGAAGAACCACATTCGAGTCATCTGTAACCATGAACTTACATGGTCCCTTTGCATATCCTCCCCTGATTCAGTCACTTTCTTTTGGGCCTATGGATTTAATTCCTTTAATATAGCATTATGCACCCCATGCAAGCACTTGGAACCATAAAACCATGTACTAGTTCTTAAGCATGCGTAGCATCTTTTTGTATCGGTTTCACGTGAAACCGATTCTTCAGTCTTTAGCAATTGAGTTTTGACACCAAAAAATGGATCCAGTTTAGGATATAGCAGCGTCATCTTTCGTATCTCAGACTTCTCAATGCATTCATACAAGTTATCAAAGCATCCCACGGATGAATTCTTATTAAGCAATTCGATAGTGGCTCCCAATGGTAAGGTGAGGAAACCAAATAGGAAGTCTACAGCCTCTTCATCGCACTCCATGTAGACCACTTCACTGTTAGTTTTTTGTCAATATCAATTTTACTTTCATTTCCTCACGGTCAGGATTTCTGTCACTCTCATTTAGGGACCAGCTGAAATACACCACTACTGCTTGGTACCTTTCTGTTGATTGTGGAAGAAATTTTCGAAGCACAAGTCAGTAAGGTGAGTATTTGAGATCACTGTTCTTTGCAGCAAATTTAAGATCTGCAAACAAAGAAATAAGTGAGCGGCTAGATAACAAGATTCTTGTTAATGGAGATGTTAACTGGCTAAAATATTTAGTGATTTTTATTTGATTAGTAGATGATATTGAATGGTTCAGCTCCTAAACATAACAAAATACTGTTTCCTACATGCATTTTGGCTTTGAGTTCCTACTTGGTGATTGTTTAAGGCAAGGCAATCAAAATTACTAAACTTAAGAGCCCGCTATCAATTTGAATTCAACTTGGTAATGTCTTACTAGG